AGATAGAAATAGAAAAAAATATAAACAAATTATTGATTTAAATAATTTTTGTACTGTTTTTATTTTTGTTTCTTTAGAGTTACATTCAGCAACAAAAGAAGATAAGGTGAAGCAAAAAAAAAAAACAGTTTGAAATCTACAATAAAATGAATGATTTTCCTTTTCCTAATTTTTTTTAAGAGGATAGCAAAAATACAAATTGCAATGTGTTTGTAAAATTTATTTGTATAATTTTAATGTAACAACAAGGGTTGAATTAAGCGAATGCAAAACGCAAAATCTAGAAAAATATCTAGTATTCAAAATTTTAGTTTATACAAAACCGTGTTCCTTGTTTATAAGGGGAGAATCAACTTAAATTTGTTAGCGAAAAAATAAACTTACGATCACAAAAGTAATAACACTCTAGTCACTAACTGCATTACAAAAGTAATAACACTATAATAATGTTATTACTTTTATAACGCTCTTATAACTTTTAAAATTCATTCTTTGTTCAAGCAACATTAGTATTCCCAAATTTTAATTGAAGTAGAAAAATATCTAGAAGAATAAAGTGGATGTTCAAATAATATTAAAACTAAAGTAACTTATATAATTGTGACAAACAACTTAATGAAAACGAATCGTATTAAAAATTTAGCATTATGAAAAACGTTACTAATGGACCGTAAAATGCTTTATAAATGTAATAAAACTATTATAGTTTTATTACTTTTATAATATAGTTAGTGACTAAAGTGTTATTACTTTTGTAGTCGTAAGTTTATTGTTTTTGTTTTGTTTTTTGTAACTTTCACTAACAAACTTTTAATAATTAGCTCCTTATAAACAAAGTACACAGCTTTGCATAAACTCAAATTTTAAAGACCTAATATTTTAGCAGAGTTTGCAAATAAACTTGTTACATTATAATTATACAAATATATTTTACAAACAGATGACGATACATATTTTCTCTTTCCTCTTTAAAAGAAAAAACACATAAAATATGGCAAAGTCATCCTTTTTAACGCCTAAAACTGTTTTTTTTTTTTGTTTTTTTTTTTTTTTTGCTTTGACTTGATGAATTTTGTTGCCAATAATAATAACCACTAAGAAAAAACAAAAATAAAAATAACACACAAATTATTTAAACTATTATTATTGTTTTCTATTTAAGTTTACTTTAATTTCTTATGCAGTTATTAAATTTAAAACAATTTTTTAGTAACGCATATAATATAACTTGCGCAAACAGCAGTGATCAGGTTCTCTAACTTGAAAAACATTTTCGTGGCCGTGTGAGAAAAAAAACCGCACGCCTTTTCTGGGAAGGCTTGATATATATATAAATAAATAAAAAGTTAAAATAAAAAAAAAGTTTATAGCTAAAATAAAAAAAAAACACGAACTATACAAACTATACTTGGTTTATTAAATTGTTTTAATAGCAAAATAGATTTGCACACACAAAAAAAAATTGCCATTCTCATGAAAAAGGTTTTTAAAAATGGCAGAGAACTTGAGAAACTGAATTAGAATGATCAAATAATTATTAAAACTTCAGTTAAAAACTCAAATATTAAATCCATTACCTATATATTTTTCATTTTTTCGATAAACATTATAAGCTAATTCATAAGTAGAGCAATCGCTAGGATTAAATGAACCATTAAGCTATAATAAAAATAACTAAATTACAAACACATAAAGATATATATGTGTGTGTGAGTGTGTGTTTATATATATATATATATATATATATATATATATATATATATATATATATATATATATATATATATATATATATATATATATATATATGTATATATATATATATATATATATTTCCTAATAGATTTATAACTTTAAGTAAATTTCAATAAGTTTGTTAATAAGATATGTTTTTCATTCGCATCATACAATTATGTTGTTTAAAAAAAAGCAAAAATGAATGCTTACAATTGATTTACTTTAAACATCTTTGCTTTGATTTGTGTATACATTTAATAACAATAACAACCTAAACCTGTTTTTTTAAATCATCTACAGTATACAAAAAGTATCAAAGCAGAAATGTTTCTTTGATAGAGAAACTAAGAGGTGGAAAAAAATAAAAATGTCACTAACCTTATTTGAAATTTAAATTTTTCTAATAATTAAATTTTGAACACCTTGTCAAAAAACAAAATTACCAGTTTAGGTATGTAATGCTCAGCGAGGTCTGGTTGATTGAGTTTGAGATAACATCGAATAATAGATCCCAAAGTAGCGCACAATAACGCTCCATTTTTAACTGTAAGGTACTCAATACGTTTAAAATATTTTTCTAAAGCACTATTATAATCTCTTTTATAATACAACAGATCAGCTTCAAACATTATTTGGTGATAATAATCAACAGATTTCTCATTTAACACAGAATTGACAAACCACTAAAAAATATTGATTGACATATAGTAATTTGAATAACAGAAACATATAGAAAAAAGTCACAATATATTACATTTAAATTTTTATTTCGATTCTATTACTTATAAAAGAATCATTTAACTCAGAAATCAAAAAAAAGTTTAAAAGTTTAATTGATTATTGAGCACTTTTTTATTACATAATAAATTTTTATTAAATAATAATTTATTACATAATAAACTTTTATTACATAATAATTTATTACATAATAATTTATTACATAATAAATTTATAAAACCCTTTGCTGACTAATTTCTTTTTCTAATAAAATTTCAAGACAAAAAAAAAATATTTTGAAACTTAATTCTAAAATTAAATAACAAAAATAGAAAATTACCTCAGGTGTGCAGGTTTTAGGAAAATACTGCTCTTCTTTGATGGTTGAATTTTTCAATTTAGTTTCAAAAATATCTTCATCAAAATCAAATTCCATATTTTAAATATATAACTAGGTATGTAACATGAAATTTTTGTATTGATTAAGTACTAGAATATTAGTAATATCATTAGAAAGACCTTTATTACAGTATTTCAAATGCAAAAAAGTCATTAAAATTGAACAATTCTACAAAAAGTTATGAGGGTAAAATTACCAAGGGGTTAATATATTGATTTGTTGATAAAACTGTGGTCGAAATTTAGTTTTTCTTCACTTAATGTTTTATAACTTTGTTAGTTTTTATTTAAATGCCAATAACATGGTCAAAAAGATAGGTGTAAGAGTAGACTGAGGAGGCTAGAGGGAGCACCAAACCACTATCATAGCATCTAAAAATGCATATTTTTTCCATAAAAGACTTTTTTGAACTAAAATTTTAATTTTTACATGCAAAAAGATGAAATTACTTTATTCAAGACCACCAATTATCAGAGATGTATGTAGAGTAAAATGGGAGGGCAGAGGAGGGGGTTGTGGTGTGGTAATGATGCTTTAACACACCCTAGTATCAAAATTGTTTTATTCATAAATACTTTTTAATGTTAATTAAAATAAGTGAACTAGGATTAAAAATAAAAATAATTTTTTACCACAGGCATTACCCTCCTTTCCTAAAAAAAATTTTTCTTAATAAAAATATCAATATATGATAAGTTACTAAAACAAAATTTGAAGGTGTCTCTGGTACTATGGTTTCCTTTGAATAACCAGGGGGACCAGAGGGGAATTGCAACACTATTCTAACTGTCCGAAAATGCATGTTACCCTTATATCAAAAATGTTTTGTTAAATAAAAATTAATATCAAAACGTACTTTACTAAATTAAAAAATGTATTAGCATTTCATCCATTGTCTTAGAAGAAGAAGCATCCCTTTTTCCACAATAAAATATTACTCAATGAGTCAAATACAATATGGAAAATAAAAAAAATGCAGATATTTAAAAACTTCCTTACCTTAAAAAAAATGAAAAACAAATGTTATAAAAATAAAGCGGATATGGTGAAAGGAGAGTAAAACCATATGGAAAGTGTTAGGAAAAATTACTGATACATCAGATAAAAATAAATGTGTATAAAAACATATTTAATTTGAAGATGAAAGTAATAAGTCAATAGTCAATAAGCAAAATGAATTCCTCATCTTAACTGTTATTAACATTCAAATTACAATAAAAAGTGACAGAAAATATAAAGTTAAAAACCATTATAAAACAAAATTATTAAAGGTTTATATAAGTTAAAAAATATGTCTCAAGAAACACTTGATCAACTTGCGTTGAATTTGCAAGAAAAAAAAACTATTTATGAAGAAATAAGTGTATTTACTTCTTTTTTAATATACCCTACAATTAAATTACAGATTTGTTAGCCTTACCAGTCAAATTTGTAAGCTATTCGAATCACTTATACGGGGTGCTTTAGTCAATTACCTTAAAATGAATCAAGCAATAGTAGACTCACAACATATATGACTCACAAGCAATAGTAGACTCACAACATATATGACTCACAAGCAATAGTAGACTCACAACATATATGACTCACAAGCAATAGCAGACTCACAACACCGATTCAGGAAAAGAAAATCATGTATGACCAATTTATTATTATTTTTGGAGCAGGTAACAGGATTTGTTAACAATGGAGATTGTGTAGATGTAATATATTTAGATTTTGCAAAAGCCTTTGATAAGGCTCTTCATTGAAGATTGCTAAAAAAAATTTATAGTCATGGAATTGAAGCCAAACTTTTTCAATAGATAAATTCTTGATTGATCGACAGGGTTCAACAAGTAGTTTTGAATAGAAAAAATTTCTTCTTTTAGGAGTGGCGTACCACAGGGATCAGTTATTAGGTCTAATCCTATTTTTGATATATTAATGATCTGGATACCAAATACCAAAATATTCTCTTAAGTTAATACCAGAAGTGATGGTTTGCAACTCCAAGAAGATCTGCAAAAGCTTGGTAAGTGGTCTATTGAATGGCAAATGTAATTTAATGTTATGAAATGCAATGTTATGCACATTGGAAAAAAGGTTATAAATACAGTATAAACAGGGTTATTTTAGAAGAAATTGAGACTGAAAAAGACCTTGGGGTTGTGGTATCATATGATTTGAAAGCATCTAACCAGTGTATGAGTTTGTGATATCACACAATTTGAATGATCTAACCAGTGTATTTGAAAGCATCAACCAGTGTATTTTGTTTGCATTGCCTATGGCAATGCAAACAAAATTCTGGGAATGATAAATTGCACAATTGACTATAAACAATCTGATATTATAATGAAACTATATAAATTGTTAGTTCTTCCACACCTTGAATATTGTACATCTGTTTGGTCACCTTTTTATGTCAAAGAATTGAAAAAATACAACATTATTTTAGTAAAATGATAATAGAAGTGGAACATCTATCATATGCAGACAGAATACTTAAACTATGGTCTATGGACACTTAAGAAACAAAGAAACAGATTGGATTTGATAGAAGTAACAGTCACTTCCCTAAATTGTTTCAAATCAAGGATGGGCTTCATTATGAACTAACGTCCACATAGCTCAATGGGTCAAAACTGGATTGCTTTAGCAATACTGGTATGGCCATACCAGGTAAACAACCTGTTCCAAAGGTAAATTGGCCCCTCAAAATATGAGACCTAATAACATGCAACATTAACTATGAAAAATTACTTAAAATGTGTGTTCACTCTTAATTATCTAACTACTTTGATGTAAATAATTTATTTATTAAAAAACAGTTTGGATTTAGGAAACAGAAACATCTGTTTCTGTTTCCTAAATCCAAACTGTTAAACAGAAACATCTGTTTGGAAAAAAACTTTGAATAGTTGTTTTATAAGAAAAGAAAAAACACTGAATAAGCTTAACTAAGAGACACTCGCTTGGTGGTTAAGTCAACATGATCCTAAATTAAATGTTAAAAAATTATTGTTATATTGTAAATGTTATATGTTAATATTGCACAACCTAAGCAAACAAAAATATGATTAATACAAGCTTTTCCCAACCTTATTATTGTTTTGGATGGAATCATACTTAAATTCTGTAAAAATATTAAATTTTTGAAAACTTAAGAAAAAGAAAGATTACCCTTAAGTTCATTTTTTATTCTTATTTTTCTATTTCTATTTTTAGGAATATGATAGAAAAAAGAATAAGCATACATTCCACATTTACTAAGTTTAGTAAATGAGAAAGGTATGTTATTTCTTCAAATTGATCTAAAATTGAGTATATTGATATCATTCTACCAGTAAGAATTCTATTTCCTGTGTTTAGTCTAAATTAGTAAACGACCGGGGTTGATATTTGACCGGGACTGGAGATGGGTTTGATAAAATATAGCCAGGGCCAGGTCTAGGTTTATGACCGGGCTGCATAAACATTTATACATCATAAAGTATAATTTTTTTATTCAAAATGTATATTATACTTTGTATATATATGCATAGATAAACATCATTATGATCAACATGATCATGTACATGATCATAATCATCATTAACAACATTATCATCATCATCATCATCATCATCTCTTTCAGCAAATACTACACCATATAAATACTAAAGTTTATATATATTTGGAAAAAGTTAAAGTATTCCAGCATCTAAATAAATAGCAAACATATATTTTTATATCTATATGTATGCATGAAGTGCATCTCAGAAGCTTTTATTTTATTTCAAGTAACTTTAAGGTATCTTGATTGATTGGTACCACAAGGTATCTTGTGGTACCAATCAATCAATCGTTTATTTCACTTTATAAAATAAATTCAAAGTTAGGATTAGTCACAAACAATTATGTAACTGACAAAAACCTACAAATATTCACTATAAATTGGACAAAATATTACTAGTACATAATTAATAATATCAGTAATTTTAGAATAATAAATAATAATAATAATAATAATAAAAAAAGCAATAACACCAAAAATAACTAAAAAAAAAACAGGTACTTATATAAAACGATATCAATATAGTAACAAGAACATCAGCAATACCATGTTATTTAAGAAAGAAGGCAAAAACAACTTGAATTTTAAAGGGATAAAGGATAAGGTCAAAACAACGTGAAAAACAACTATTAAGATAAAAATACAGCAGAAACTTAACTAATTATTTTTATCTTGGATAATTTTTTTGACTTTGTTAATAAAGAGAGCTCAACTTCCTTTTTTAGATACTTTGTCTTGATTTCAGAGGGAAGATAACTCCTCAATAATGGAATTATTATCATACTTAAATGTTTGCTTCAAAGGTACTATAAGGTTGTTACACAATGCTGATTTAATATTATGGCAACAACTTTTATTAACAAATTTATAATAAATATTGAAGCTTATTGGTAAGTTATTATCTAAACTGTCCCATACAATTATACAATTCAATAGTAATATTAGATCTTTTAGCATTATTTTTGAGAGATTGTAGAGAATTTTAAAGTCAAATCTATTAGATTTGAAATGAACTGTTTTAAGTATTTAGTTTTGAAGGTTTTCTATAATTTTTGTATACTTAGAATAATTTTGCCCTCATATCTGACAACTAGAAAGCATATGCGAGTTATATTTAGCATACCATATATTTATAAGTCGTAGCTAACAAAATGCCCGATCTTTGAAACATTTCTTCTGCATGGATGAGTCTAAGTGCAGTCTGCTTCAGTTAGTGTGTGAAGGAAAGGGTTTCATCTAACATTATTCCTAAATTTATTTGACTAACAAGATTTAACTTTTAGCCAATGATTCTAAAATATAATTTTGTTGTAACACAGGAAATACAATCTAATTTTTATTATTAACAAACTCAATTTTAACTTTCTTCAATATAATAAAAAAAAAACACTTGAATAAAGTTTGACTATTCTATTTTTTTAAATTACTATTTTACCAGATTATTGAAACGCAAACTTGTCAAAACTTATTGGCAACACGCATTCGCGCGTATCTATAACAGTCAAAAAAACGTAATATTACGTTTTAATACGTTTTTTAGACGTCTTGTAGATACT